TTCCTTCCTTCCTTCCTTCCTTTCTCTCTCTCTCTCTCTCTCTCTCTCTCTCTCTCTCTCTCTCTCTCTTTCTCTCTCTCTTTCTCTCTTTCTCTCTTTCTCTTTCTTGTTTGTTGTTTTTCCAGACAGGGTTTCTCTGTGTAGCTTTGGAGCCTTTCATGGAACTCACTCTGTAGCCCAGGCTGGCCTCGAACTCACAGAGGTCTGCCTGCCTCTGCCTCCCAAGTGCTAGGACTAATCAACCTGCTTTCTTATAGAACCCAGAAACCACTGCCCAGGGATGGTGCCACCACGATAGTCTGGGCCTTCCCACATATTTATCTACAGGCCAATCTTATGGAGGTTTTTTGTTTGTTTGTTTGTTTGTTTGTTTGTTTTGTTTGTTTTTTTCCCATTATCAGATAAATCTAGTTTGGGTCAAGTCTCTATAAAACTAGGCAGCACAGTCCTGGATTGGAAGACTAGAAATGAGTCCAGTATCTGAGGAAGAGGCCATCTGAGGCTGTGCCGGTGCCCTGGTGGAAGACAAGGTTCTGGGATCAGACAAGCGGCCTGTGTCTCCTCTCCTACTCTTGCTAGCCCTGGGGCCCTGGGGAGATTGCATCAACTCCATGAGCCTTGGTTTTCTGATCTGTTAGATGAGGAGGGTGATGTTTGAGTACCTGTCTCCCCAGGGCCATTGGGAGGATTAAAGAAAGGTATGTGACAAGCGGTATGAACTGTCCGCTCATGTCATTAGGGGCCTTGCTTGAAAGGAGGCAAATACCAGCACATGACAGCCAAAATGGGGGAGGGGAGCTGGGTTCAGGTTGAGAAAAGAGTAAACTCAGTTTGGGGCAGGCAAGTGGAGATGGATCTACACATGTTTATCGTGGGAATTTCTGTCAAGGCTGCTTTTTACCCATGTCTTGGTGTCTTCAGAGAGCAGGCCTGGAAGGACATGCTGCAGACTCTGGAATGCACTGGAGATGAGACCATGCAGCCAGGTTTGCAGAGTTTCGATCCTGGCGAAGGACTTTCTGTGGAAATCAGTCTTGCCTCCCTCTTCCACAGTCTGTGTTCACCTTGGCCCTCCTGATCTCACGTTGTTAGTGTTGCCTTCCCTGATCAGAGTCTGTACGAGTTGGAAAAGGAAATGGTTTTAAGGCGGGAAATCAACTGGTGGGTGATGGTTGGAAGAGCCCTTCAGTGTTCTGAAGAGGGACCGGAAGGCTGCCATCTCACGTCCGTCCTACTGTGGACTGGCCTGTACTCCTCGGGAAGAGATCAAGCAGGGGACATGTAAATACCTGAAAAGATGAGACATGACAGTTGGCCTGATGTTCTGAAGTGGTCCCTTGACATCTAGCTGTGCCTTTGGATTATCTTAATTGGAGCAGGAGAGACCAGAACTTAATTAGAACATAATTGAGGAGCTACATTAAACAGAGCTGGCTTAATGGCTGCTTTGTGAACTTCGCTTGGGAATTCTTCCCATCAGCATATCCCTGAAAATGTTTTGGGCACTCACCATTATGTTGATACTTTACTCTAATCGATTTTTAATAAAAGTCTCATGTTTCTATCCTTAGCGATAAAAACCAGTGCAGATTTACATGAGTTTGTTTCAACTGGATGTGTTATTTATGCAAACCTAAGATTCTGTATTTCCTGGAGTTACTGGCTTTGAGGGCTTTTTTGGAAAGTGACAGAAAGCCCCATTCAAAATGACTTACACAGAAAGTAATGTTTTGTTTTTTTTTAAGATGTGAGAAGCCCGCGGGGAGATCTTCCAGCACAGCTTGATTGGAGAGCCTCAATGATGTCCTTAGAGAAAAATGTTCTTTTATCAGTGTTTATTCATTGATAAAATGATGTTTCATTATGGCATGTTCATGTAATACTTAGACCATATTCCACCCCCTTAATCTTCTCCCACCCAACCCCCAACCTCCTGCTGGTCCCCTTCCTCTTCTCAAATAGTTTTACTTCTGCTTTAAAGTCATGCATGTGTGTTTAACCTGAATTCCACATAGACCGGAAAACATGGGATATTTGTCTTTCTTGGCCATATCCCCCGAATCCCTGCTACCCTCTCCACGAGTTTTCCTCCCCCCAGCAGTCCTGTCTGTTCCCCTCTACCATGTCTTCTCTACTTCCATGTCACCTGGATATGTATTAGGTATCTATATAAAACCCAGGACCCACAGATGAGAAAACGATATTTGTCTTAAAGGTTGACTAAACTTGCCTAGTATGATTATCTCCTATTGTAGTCATTTTCCTGCAAATGACATGCTTCATTTTTCCTTACAGCTGAAGACAATTCCACATTATATATCTATACCACATTTCCTTTATTCATTGTATGTTGGTGAACATTTTTTAAAGACAGGACATTGCTATAGAGCCCAGGCTGACCTCAAACAGGCAGTTCTCATATCTTAGCCTCCTGAGTGCTAGAATTGGAGTTGTGCATCACCAAAGCCAGCTGGGATCTCTTGGCTGTGGGGGTAGAATTATGTATGCCCATTTAATCCAGATCTCGTTGTTTTCAAATGTTAGTTGTTTCTCTTCTCAGCCTCCAGCCCTTTAGTCTATCCCCTGTGTGTGTGCTCAGCATAAAAACTGGTATAGACTACTCTATGATTTGATCTCATGTTAATGTGTGCCTTTCTCTCTTTGAGAGTTGTGGGTTTTTGTTTTGTTTTGTTTTTTAAACAATATTCTCCTTTCCATCTTTTTAGGATCATTTTTTCCCCAGATCCACATGTCCACCCTTCACAACATATCTACCCACCAACCTGTCAGTTCTTCCTCTGTCTGTCCAGTGTGCTGCTTTGGACTCATCTCAAAGTAAATTACAGATCTGTGATGACATGTGTCCCTTGTCACTTGCTCTTTTCCTTTCAACTTTACATTTTTGTTGGTTTGTTGTTGAAACAGGGTCTCAGGTATCTGTCCCAGGCGGGCCTCCAACTCCATGTGTAGCCGAGGATGATCATGAACTCGTGGTCTCTTGCTTCCTCCTCCCAACTTCTGGCTTCTGGCATCTACTACCACATCCACCGGTCAGCTACAGGTTGTGTTCTGCTTTTAGGATTTGGGGCCTAGAAAGACAGCTCACTGTACAGTCTCAAAAACAAACACACAGCAACAAAAACAATGTGTTGGACTTCGCGGTTGCCCGTTTGCTCTGCCTGCACAAATATGCACACTTGTGCCTTTTAGCAATCAATGGTTCATTGTATCTGCCCACGTCCTAGGAGCCTGGCAGCCCAAGCTCTTCAGTCCTGTGCTTCCCTTTTTCTGTTACTTCCTCCCTTATCTCTTCACTCACCACAGCTTTCAGTTGCCTCTCTTCTCCCTTTCAGCTCCCCAGTAGATAATTTTTAAACTAAACAACAGCTGAACAATACTCCACTGTTCTGCACGTCTGGGTATGCAGGGCACGTCCACGCCTGCCCAGAACTGGAGGAAAATATTATCTCTTGCATTTTATTTCTTTGCATCAAAAGCAAATAAATCTGTGCATGAGCATCATATGTGGCTATGTCTAAGTCTATTTAATAGAGTGAGCAAGGCTGCATTCTCTGCATAGAATCTTTACCACTAACGGGTATGATAAATGCCAAGTGGACAAGCGCGGTATGTGGGAAGACAGAGACTAGCATCTTACAGTTGCTCCATTGTTTAAGCCATTAGGCTGCAATTCATGCTTGGTTACATATTTGCATTGTTGTAACAAATATTTTCTTCTTTTAAGGTAGCTTTTGAAGGGAGTCCTCCCTTTCTTACACAGCCTTTAAAAAGCAAAAACAACAAAACAAAACAAAAAAACACTATGAGAGAGGGAGAGGGAGAGAGGGAGGGAGGCTGTAAACTTGGGAAGGAGGGAGGTGTGGATCTGGGAGGGATGGACACTGAGTGACAGTGATCAAAATATGCTTATAAAATTCTCAAAGAGCTAAAAAAATGAGAAAAAAATATTGTATGTCAAACAAACAAGCCCTTTCTAAGATAGCACTTTTCATTGTATCCCCTTGGTAGGCTGTGTTCCAATTTCTTTATAAAAGCTGTTGGCTTCGAAGTAAAGACAGCAAGCAAATAATCTCCAGCGACTCGGGCAATGCCGTCTTTTCTTCACTAACAGCCACGATAAAGCTCCCTTTACAAACCCCGAGCAGCAATCTGCTTCTCAGTGACCATCAGCTTCACAGCAATGCCATCAGCTTTCTGGTGGATTATGAAACCAAATTGGATGCTTACAAGGGAAGAAGAAAAAAGAAATCAGATGGCAATGTTTCCTGAGAAAACACTGTGGTGAGCTGGGGCGCAGTTCCATTGGTAGAGTGCTTGCCGAGTACGCTTGAGGCCCTGAGTTTGGTCCCCAGCTCCACACAGACCAGGCACGGCGGCTTCTGCCTGTAATCTCAGCACGAGGGACGTGGAGAAAAGGTTATTTAACCCCTGCTACATAGCTAGTTTGAGGTCAGCCTAGGGATACTCTGTCTCAGAAGGAGAAGAGAGCGAGCGAGCAGTTGTGGGACGTGAATGAAATGTATCCAGAATTATACTAATAAATCTTCATTGGAAATGCCCACATCCTTGTACCGGAGCCTCTCTTGCTTGGACCCCCTGGAACTGTTCCTGCATTTCTTCATTCACCTGCTCCACACAAGGCACTTGATGAAGCCTCAGGTGGAAAGAGGGGTGTGCAGCCTGCTCCCCGGAGTTTGGAATCTGGAGGGAGACATAATCTGTGGCTTGTTACTTTCTGAGATGCTGGGATGGGGTTCATCAAACTGCAGGACAGCCTTTCGTAAGTGGAAAAGGCTTCCTGGGGCACCTTAGGATTTGCATGGGATTGGAGAACTGAAAATTAGTAGTTGCAACTTTCTCTTTTGTAAACAATAATCAACCTAGCACAGACAACTTGGAGACAAAAAAAAAAAAAAAAAAAAAAGTAAACTTCCAACAGGGTGTGTAACTCAGTGTGCCTAGCATAAGACTGTGAGCTCTGAGTTCCATCCTGGGCACACCACCAATGAGAGAGAGAGAGACAGAGAGAGAGACAGAGAGAGAAGGGGAGGGGGCTGCCTCCTGGACTGGCAGGTCTCGGAAACTTGAGTCTCTGTAGCAGATCCAGGGTCCAGTACAGTGTGACCAGGAGATTGTCACTGCAGTCTACCCAATGACGTCTTGCTAATGGATCCCTGTTGTCTTCTCTGGATAGGGCTGTTTTGGATTAACTGACTCCATCTACACCAGTCCTATTTCCAAATAAGGTCATAATCTGAGGAGGAGGGTAGGATACTAGCAGAAGAACCTTGGGAAAGGTGCAATCCAACCCCTTCCCTCCTCTCCCTCTACATTTCCTGCTGTGCCTTCTGCTACCCGGGGTGATTGGCAAGGGATGCTGGTTGACTTGAGCTAGCTCCCTGCATCCTAGATCAGGGGAGGCAAGAGAAGGGGAAAGAAGGAAAGGGTGTGGTGATATTTTGATTGTGCTCTTAACAAAGTTCGAGTGGAGATCAGAGGGCAGAGCCAGCCACAGAGGTCAGGCAGCGGTGGCGCACACCTTTAATCAAAGCACTCAGGAGGTAGAGGCGAGATCTGTCTGGATTTCTGTGAGTTCAAGGCCACACTGGGCTACATGAAATTAATCCAGTCTAAAAGAGAAACACAGAGCCAGGTAGTGGTGGTACACATCTTTAATTCCAGCACTTGGGATCATGCACCTTTAATCCCAGCACTAGGAAGGTTGAGACAGAAAGTGATATGGCTGGGCAGAGAAAGGAATATAAGGCAGGAGGAGACAGGAACTCACGCTCTTTCAGACTGAGGAGTAGGTGAGGTAAAAGGTGGTGGCTGTGGCTTGCTCTGCTTCTCTGATCTTTCAGCTTTTACCCTGATATCTGGCTCTGGATTTTCATTTTAAGACCAATTAGGATTCATGCAACAGAGGGGAGAGGAGATCTAGAGAGACAGAGAAAATTTCCAGAATACTTTGCATTCTTAGGAGGGCTGCCAACATGGCCTCCAGCACCTCTAGACTGACTTGGGTCTTAGTCTCTGTCAAAAAGGGGTTCTCTGATTCTTCCTGGGGTGGCATGAGCAAATGATCATTTACTCCAGCTGGGCACCAATGACCAACCAAATAAGTCGTTCCTCCTGGGTCTGGCTTGGTGAATCAGTGAGTTCACTGAGGCTGCTCACAGGCCAGTGTGTGGGTCACAACTCACACGTCTCGTCCCTGGAGCCTCTTGCACCACTTGTGGGCGCCTCTGCTACAGGAGTCCCCTTTCCCCAGGACCTGTTACTGCTTGTCTGACAGGGGAGGGACCCTGCGAACACGCGGGCTCCCCGGGCGTCCTGAGTCCTGTGCATGAACTGTGGGAGTTGGTTCTCCCCTTCCACCACCATGTGAGTTCCCAGTATCAAACTCAGATAATGAGGCTTTGCCGCAAGCACCCTTGCCCACTGAACCATCTCACTAGCCCTGGTCCCTGAGTCCCAAGGAGCATGGCTGAGGACGGAGCGTCTCAATTCAGAGGAAACTGCTACACAGCAAACCAGAAAGGGACCCTCCATGTCCCAGTTCTGTAAGAGTTCTCCGACAGGAGCGGATGGTTCCATTGCAGCCACAAGAAAGGAGAAATGGGAGAGAGGATGCACTGTACCTTGCTCAGCACAGCGTGACCCAATGCCCTAGAATGTTTTCCCCATGTGAGTTCCCAGCTAGGGCTATATTTGGCTGCATGTAATGGTAAGAAGAGTGGCAATAAACCCAGTGAAGTTTATGTTGCCTCACACATCAAGAGAGGGATAGTGTAGGCCCAAGCTGGCACAGTGGCTTAAGGCAGTCAGCAAAGGCCCAGCTGCTCCTAACTCCTGCTCCGTCATCTGTAGCATGTAGATTTTTTTTTTTTTATTTATTATGTATACAGTGTTCTGCCTGCATGTGACCCTGCAGGTCAGAAGAGGGCACCCGATCTCATTACAAGTGGTTGTGAGCTACCATGTGGTTGCTGGGAATTGAACTCAGGACCTCTGAAAGAGCAGTCGGTGCTCTTAACCACTGAGCCATCTCTCCAGCCCGCGCGTAGATTTTTGTTTGGTTCATTTGTCTGAGGCAAGGTTTCCTATTGCCCAGGCTGGCCTCAGACTCACTGTGGAGCTGAGGGCGGCATCTGACTCCTGGTCTTCCTGCCCTACTTCCTGAGGCTGTATCCCTGTGCCAGGCTGAGCATGTGGGTTTTGGTCTCAGGGCTTGACGGGACTGTTACCATGTTTAGGCTTATTCCAGACCGGAAGTAGAAGGGAACTTCAGAGGACAGCGGGCAGAAGAAACCAGGAAAGCGGAGTCTTCATAGACACCTCTTGGCCATGTCTACTTCTGTCTCACAAGGAAGAGCTGTGACCCATAGTTGTCCCGTTCTTCTCAGAAGCCCAGGGAACAGTTTTTGGCCTAATTGATAGCTGTGTGGAAGCAGTAAGGTTTCTGCTAAGAGATGGGGTGCAGTATGGGTACTAAGGACCGCTAGCAGGAACAGTGGACCCAAGTGCTTGGCTTCTACCTTCCAGTGCTTTAAATTTTTACTTTTATGTTTTTCCCTCCACCTTCAAAGTAGCACCCAGGTGTGAAGTCCAACTGTGGGCTTGAGTAGACTGAGGGACTCAACAAACACAATGCGAAATGTGCCCAGAGTTTCAGTCAGTAGCCAGTGTGCCATATGCCATGTGCCTCAGCCAAGAGCCAATGTACCATGTGCCCTGTGCTTCAGCCAATGGCCCGATAGCCAGCCACACAAAATGAGGACACACCACCTAGTGCTGTTGGCACTGCCCTAGTCCATGATGTTCACACAACGACAGAAATCATCCAAGGTTACTACATCTCTCAAAATGTACCCTACTTGTCCTTTCTATAAGTCACACATGACTCAAAGCAAGTTGTGATTTAGGTAATCACAATACGTTCCCACCAGTTCCTAGCTGTTGTGAACCGTAAAATCATCCTCTTCGGGATGGAGAGATGGTTCAGTGGTTACGAGCACTTGTTGCTCTTCAGGATCCTGTGCCAGCCTGGCGCACAACCATCCATAACCCGAGTTCCAGCGATCTGACGTCTTCTTCTGACCTCCGATGGTACAGGAATGTGGTGAACATACATGTATACAGCAAAATACTCATACATATCAAACAATTTTTTTTTTCAAAATCAGCCTCCTGAGGTACTGAGCAAGGAAATGTAATAAGCACCTACCTGGTTCACTCACTGCCTTTCATTAGACAGTTAGTGCCCTGCTGTCAGAAAATGCTTTATCCAAAGTTGACTAGAGAAACCCCTCAGGCTGCTTTATATCGTCCACATACTGCTTGTTGACACACTTATAAACCCCATAATAGACCCATGCATGTTAAAACGGGTCTAACCAATTAACCCCTCTCCTTGTGCTGCACAGACACGTGGGTAGAGGAAGAATATAACTGAATTATATCTTCTCTCTTTAGAGGAAGAGAACCAAGTTCATTGCCTGCGACTTCCTGACTGAGTGGCTGTACAAGTAAGTTGTTCCTGTCATGACTATTCAGTGGCCCCCGGGATTTGATTGTGTTCATCTGCAAGAATAACAGAATAATATAGAATAATATAGAAGAATAACAACTGACTTAACTCTTGTCCTTTTCCTTGCCAATGAACACGGTCATGTGACCAGCCAGAATCCAAAGAGGGCAGGGGAGCCGTTCACGGAATTCTTCTCCATTCCGTTTGTAGAGGAATGGCTCAAGCACCAGTAAGTGTAAATAGTTGACTCCTAATGTTTTTTTCTTTCTCTTATGGGTATGTGTGTTTGGTGTGCATGCACGTGTGTGTGCATGCTTGCATGTGTGCGGGCCTACATGTAAAGGCTGAGGCCGACACTGGGAGTCATCTCTGATCACTGTTCCCCTTGTTCGTTGAAGCTTGCCAATGTGGTTGGCCTGGGCAGCCAGCTTGCTCTGGGATCCCGTGTCTGCCTTCTGAGCATTGGAAGTCCAGGCAGCCACCACTCTCTCCAGGCGTTTGTATGGATTCTGGGGAGCCCAACTTCGGTCCTCACGCTTACACAGCTCTAGCCACTGAACCATCTGGCCCACCCAGCCCTAATTTCTTTTCTTTCTTTCTTTCTTTCTTTCTTTCTTTCTTTCTTTCTTTCTTTCTTTCTTTCTTTCTTTCTTTCTTTCTTTCTTTTTTTAAGATTTATTTATTTTTTTATTATGTATACAGCATGTACGACTGCAGGCCAGAGAGGGCACCAGATCTCATTACAGATGGTTGTGAGCCACCATGTGGTTGCTGGGAATTGAACTCAGGACCTCTGGAAGAGCAGTCAGTGCTCTTAACCTCTGAGCCATCTCTCCAGCGCCCCCAGCCCTAATTTCAAGGTTATGGTTATGATGGCTTCCTTTGGTGTAAAGGAATTCACTCGTGTACTGCATCTAGGACTCCAGGTCAGTTACGCTTGGGGCTCTTGTCTCCCGTTGTTTGTCCCACAGACTAAGTTTGCTCCGTCTGCACACTGGTTCCATCCCAGACACACTTGAGAATACCACCGAAAAGAAGTTCTTAGCCGGAACAATTTTTCTCTCCCATCTCTTTCTCTGTCTCTGCTTCTGTCTGTCTCTCTGCTAGTGAGGCGTGAGCTCAAGGCCCTTGTCCATGCCAGATAACAAGCGATTTCCCAGCAGAGCTGCAGTTCCTCCCACAGGCCTCAAACTCAAGTTCAATCTCTGTGACTCTGAGGCCAGCCTAATCTACACAGTGAATCCCAGGCCATCCAGAGCTACATAGTGAGACCCATCTCAAAGAGCTGGAGGTGAGTTCTGAGAGACGGCACTTGTTCTTGCAGAAGACCCAGGTTCTGTTCCCAGCACCCACATGGCAGTGCACAAACATCTCTGTAACTCTAGTTCCAGGGGATCCAGTTCTGACATCTGCAGGCATGGGGCTCACAGACTTACATGCAGCAAAACATACACATACAATAAGCCTAAAAAACAAAATGCAAGACCTTATCCTCTCCATGAGATTCTCCATGAGAATCCTGGTAAATCCCTAGTCACTCACCGCCTGGGATTCTTCGAGGGGCCCCCAGGTTCCCTCGAAGCTCACAGAAACACACCAAGAAGCAGCAGCCATCAGTGCAGCTGGAGACAGAGTGTTCTGGCTTCTGCTGGCATTTGTATTCTGTGCTTCCATTATCTTTCCAGGAGATGCCCAGGAGCGTGCTAAAAATGAAATCTAATTCACACGATGTAATGAAATCTGGGGAACACCCCCCTCATCACACCGAGAGATTGGTGCTGAGGAAACCAGAAATGAACAAATTAGGGCTGAAGCCCTAGAACAGAGAGGCGTGTTTACAAGCAGCTGCAGTTGGTGTAGTATTTTGAGTCGGGGGTTAACAAAACACTAAAGGGAAGTTGTGAGGCAGGAGACCCTTCCTGGGCTTGGAGCCAGCCCAGCAGGGTTGATTGAGTCCAGCCTTCAATTTGAGCATTTAGGGGACGTGTTCTTCCAGGGTACCCTGGAGCTGGAAGAGCCAGCCAAGCAAGCAGGAACCAGAGTCCTTCAGGGAAACAACCTCTAGCCCACACTTTTGGACTTTGGCTGTGTGGAGAGCTGTGCTGTGCATTGTAATGTTGGCAGTATTGGCCCTGTAATGTTGGCAGTATTGGCGCCCTTTCCCTACCAGATGCCAGTGGCACCCTTACCCCTACGGTTTTGATATTCCAGAATATCTGCAGACAGATGATTGTCTCAAAGCTGAGGGTTAAGCGATTACCCCAATTGAGAATCTCTGATCTAATCCTGTGGTTCTACCCTGGCACATTAAAAACTGTCTGCAAGCCAGGGCTAGAGAAATGGCTCAGCCATTAAAGGCTAAGCTCACAACCAAAATACAACATCTAATGCAAGCCAGACGTGGTGGTATGCACCTTTAATCCCAGCACTTAGGAGGCAAAGGCAGGCAGATCTCTGTGGGTTTGAGGCCAGCCTGGTCTACAGAGTGAGTTCCAGGTCAGCTAGGACTATACCTTGTCCCAAAAATTAAACAACAAGAATAAAAATTGTAAAACCATCTGTAGAGCTTTGTTCCCTTCAAGACCTATTAAATCCAAACTTTCAGGCTGGCCTGAGCATTATTTTATTTTCATTTTTATTTTTGAAAGCATCCTCTGTGTACAGTTTGTTTGTTGTGGTTTCTATTTTTGATGCAGAATCTTACCATGTAGCCTAGGCTGGCCTCAGACTTTCAGTCCCCCTGTCTCAGCTTCCTGAATACTGGAATGAGAGGCAGGACCAATCCAGCTTTCTGAGTAATCAGAGTACAGTCAGGTTTGAATTCTGAATTCTCTGTTTGGTAGAAGTCACCCTACATCAGACGTCACCTTGCATCTGGGTGATAATAACTGGTCCAATTGAGCAGTTACTCTCCTGAATGCTCTCTCTCCCTCCCTCCCTCCCTCCCTCCCTCCCTCCCTCCTTCCCTCCTTCCTTCTTTCTTTCTTTTTAAAAAAGATTTATTACATAGTGTTCTGCTTGCATGTATCCCTGAAGGCCAGAAGAGGGCAGTAGATCTCATTATAGATGGTTGTGGCCACCATGTGGTTGCTGGGAATTGAACTCAGGACCTCTGAAAGAGCAGCCAGTGCTCTTAACCTCTGAGCCATCATCTCTCCAGTGCACTAAATGCTTTCTTGAATATGATCCCTTTCAACCTCCCCACAGCTCTTGGATATAGATGCTAGCACTGGGAAGTTGACAGTAAAGGCATGAGTCCTGGGGAAATCTGGTGATCACTGCGCTTCCTCCCACTGGTATAGCCTGATGCAGGTTGGCCACACTCTTAGAAACAATAGCAAGGTCAGAATACACAGAAATAAAGAATGGAGGAGATGCTCCACCCCGTCCTTAACCTGCTCTGCCAAGAGGTTCTTAATCTTTCCCACCCCTCCTCATGAAGGATATAATATATATATATATATACATAAGGGATTTGAAGTGGGTATTTTGACTTAATGAGAGTTTTCTTTCCTGGCCCGACTGTAGCAAACAACCCCTGTGTGAGATGTGATACTAAGTATATCTGCTATCACTGCCTCCAGTCAGCCTGTCTACCAGCCTGGGAGCCATCTTCCAGGACATCCTGGGTCTTACGCTAATGTCAAAGTCCAGCTGCCTACAGCACAATACCATTGTCATGTGAGGTCACAGCTGGATTGGAGGCGTTGGTCACAGGTGGCTACTAGTGATTATCCTGTAAAAGATCCTTCTCCTACCAGGTCCCTCATCCATTACCCCCTCTCCCTACCCTCAGTGTACCAGACTCTGTATTCTGTCTAGTCTTTCGTAGCTATTCTTCCCAAGCCTATTTTTGTTTTAATATTTTTTTGTATAGCCTAGAACACTGACAATCTTTAAAAATACTCTTCAGCTCATAAAATTGTAACTAGAAATCGTCATGTACAAATTATGCATCTTTATGAAATAAATTATACAGTGAAAGAAAACGTTTCAAATCAAGGATCGTCATGGATTAAATCACCCTAGTCCAAAAGAGTCTTTCAGAACAATGCTTCCTTCCAACATGGATGACTTTGATTTTTCTCCTAGCAAAGAAATTTCTTTAAGAATTCAGAACAGAGCCAGGCAGCACACTTTTAATCCCAACACTTGAGAGGCAGAGCCAGGCAGATCTCTGTGAGTTCAAGGCCAGCCTGGTCTACAGAGCGAGATCCAGGACAAGCACCAAAACTACACAGAGAAACCCTGTCTCGAAAAACAACAACAACAAGAGTGCAGAACAGGCCTGAGGCTGAGGCTCAGTTAGTAGGGTGGTAGAGTGCTTGTCTAGCATGCTCGAAGCCCTGGATTCCGTCCCCAGCACTTCATAAACTGGGGGTGGGGGTGGGGGTGGGGTGCATGCTTACCCTCTCAGCACACCAGAGGTGGAGACAGAAGGATCAGAAATTCAGAGTCCTTAGCCTTGGCTCAAAAGAAGGTTGTAAAAAAAGGGGTGTGTGTATGTGATATTTATTCCTTTTCTTTTTGCTCTAATTTCTCACTTCTGCTGGGTATTTGTAGCTTTTCCATAGTTATAATAAGACATAAGTTATATTAAAACCTAAGGCTTTTCTGCATCGATTTTCCTGTTTCTGGGCACTTAACTTGCCATGTTTCTCAGTCCACATACTCTAGTGAGCTAGAGTACTCAGCCAAGGGTAGGGCAGGGCTGTCCAAACAGAGCGGGAAACCCTAATCATGATGATTGCTACCTACACAGGTTCAATCAGAGATAATCTCAAGACTTTTTAAGAGGCAGCAGGAGGGAGTTTCCTTTCCAATAGACTTAGATCTTTGCTTTTATCTTTTCAGCTCTAGGGATCAAACCCAGGGCCTTGGGCATGTTAGACAAGTGCTCTGCCAATGGGTACAGCCCTAGGCCTAGATCTGGATCTCCTACCGACAATTCTTGAGTTGCGGGAAGCAATCAGATAACAAAACTGTGCCCGATAAGAAGCAGGCCTGAGAGATAAGAGTCTGAGTTCTTGTTTGTTTATTATCTGGCCATGCCTAATCCAGCTCTGTTCTTTTGGATTTAAGCGAGCAAGTAAATACCTCCTTCCCCACTTTTTTTTTCTTTCAGCTAGTTTGAGTTCACTTTCTGGTACTTGCAGATAGGTCCTCTTTCATGATTTTGCCATATACCCTCTAGTACTCTGTATTAGACAGCCTTCTGTAGGTTCTGCT